GGATTCTAGTTCACAGGATAGCGTAACTGCTATTTGTCCGAGAAAACACGATGGGAGTGCTGAAGCACTCTTCAAAATAAACAGTATCGAATCGGAGGTGGGCTCGATAGTAGGTATGGAGAATGCCAGACAGGGTCTTGAACCTGAGAACGTGATTGGTTTTGAACCTATAATTAAGTCCACTCAAGATGAGCTGTATAATGACCGAGCACAACGGCATCCCTTCTCAAGAATCCAGGAACCTCACACGCTTGTCGGAGCGTTTGGGCTTGCTGAGGGCACCCCGAGCTTGTGTTCATTAGATGGTGAATTAAAAGAAAGCATTTGTGTGAGAGATTGTGGCATTTGGACATTCGTGTCTCAGTGCGTTTCGTGTCGACGCCGACGGCTCGAGACCGCGCCCTGTTCCTCTGTGACCGGTAAGCGTTCATGTGGCCGGCGGGGGCGCAGACACGCGTTTCAGCGAAAGTGCATAAAAGCATGTTTGCCACAGTTACTTTCGAAACGCGCGAGAAGGGCAGTGCGTCTGGTTTGGGACGCGATAACCTGAGTGTAGGGTTAGAAAACCGGTAGCTCTTTCTGGACTTCGACTTTTAGATGCGGACACAAGTAGCTTTGTCCATAGTCGATTTTGTAGTAAAAAGGTTTATTCCGGGTTTCAGAACTTTTAAATGCAATTGGGTGAATCTAAAGTTTAAGTGTGGACATTTGGACGATGTAGCGAACTGTAGCCCGGTGATGTGTTGAACTGCGTGGTGCAAGTATGTGGTTTAATTGTGACGTAGTGCAGAACGCGCACTCATCGGCAGTTTTTTTTTTTCTAAAAAAAAAAAAACTTGAATAAAAGGGGGGCGTATGTGATGTGTGGTGCGCGTTCAAAGTGCGCGCCTTCGAAAAGTGCGCGTCACGGAAAAAAAAAACAAAAGGAGAAATACCAGAGTGCACGTGCGGTGCTGCTTAAACAAGAATGACGACGTTAAAGAGCGTCAAGCACGAGGATGCGTGGCAGGACGTGAAGTAAACAAAAGGTAAAACATCCAATGGGCAGCGAACACGGAGATTTCAAGGCCCAATGGCTTGACACCACGAAACAGTAGTATCTCCAATGAGAACGAGACAAGTGGGCCAGAGCTGAAGCAGGAGCCTGGGGAGACCAGAGCAAGGGGAATTCGAGGCAGGCAGTGCAAGCGGAAGGTCGTCACCGGACCGGGCGCTGAAGATGGGCCGTTGGGTTCCGGACCCGAGCCTACAGGACTTCCACCGGCCGGGGCCTCCTGCTGTCGGGTTCCCGCTCCAAAGGACCGTGGCCATCCGGTCCTGAACTCCTTTCCAGGGCCTGCGGACTTTGGTTCCGGCAGGCGAGCTACAGCCGTCGGGCTCCGGGCCCGAGCTGTGCGCCCAGCTGCTTGACTAGGTCGACCCTAGTTCCCGGACGCGTCGCCACCAGCCTGCGTTCTCCCGTCTCCGACGTGTCCACGCTCCTCAAGCCGAAACCATCACGATTTGGTAGGGCTTTTCGACGTGTCGCCAGCAGCCAGCGTTCCCTCGTCCTCGTCCAGCCCACGCACTGACGCAGGAGTCACGGCGTTCCGGTTTCTCATCACCGCCGAAAACCAACTTGTGGGTGAGACTGCACCGATACTCTTGCGCTACTCCCATCACTCAGCCTCTTTCGAACGTTAGGTTTAGTTACTGACTTTGAACGTTCTTGTTGGGTGTTTACAGATGTGTTTCGTCATGTCCAGTCAACTGTTTATTAAGTGTTTTGTTTTGTGAGGAATCTTTGCCTTTTTACTTTTCAATTAAACTTTTTGTGTGTTTCTTGGAAACCGAACGGCTTTGTCCTTATTAACAAAACTCTCTGAGGCTCAGCCCGGGAGAAAAACAAATCAGCAACAAGAACCCTGCATCACAGCGAGTAAATATGGCATAAAAGAAGAACCAACTGTTTGTTCTTGACAAGAGTTGGTGAAAAGCATTTTTGAATGAGCATCACTAATGTGGTATGCAACGAAATTCGCGAAGACCTAGAATGCTTCATTCTGAAAACATTGATGCAAAGACGTGTTCAGTAACACTTGTATGACAATACTGGGCACCTTAATCCCATAGCGATTGCAAGGAAAGTGCTTCCTTTGTTCTTTGATTGAAAGAAAACATCTTATTATGCCACTGGTAACACAGTGGAGGTCTCATAATACTTTCTGGATGCGATTCAAACTTCAGCAACTTCTTTTTAGAACATCCTTGGCAGTGCAACGGGTACAACAACGAAGAATACCCGAAAGGTCAATAATCCTATGGCAAGTATAAACATTATTGGAGTGCGAGTGGGGGCAGGGCACTCTCAATTTCAGAAATTATTGACAGAGATTCATTATTACACTGAGCAACGAGGTAACCAGGCAGTAGGAAACAACTTTAAAGCTCCAAAAAACCAAGACCAAAAAGAAAGAGTAAACAGGATGAGCCCTAAAATGAGTGCTTTCTTTTCAGTCTTGTGTTTTGGCAATTCAAAGTTGCTTCCTAATGTCTTACAAACTAGCCCAAGCTTCCATGCCTTCAATTAGACAGACATAGCTCTCAGTTACAAATTGAGGCTTATGAAAAGTGGTTAATGTTTCATGCTAGATTGAAAGGCAGCACTTGGCTGGATTTTCAAATGACTTTTGTGCCCACATCCAAAAACAAATTGAGCTTCGTGTTGCAGGAGATGTTAACTGCGGCAACAACACTAATCGTGATGTCCCATGATGCCCTGTCCAATCGCGATACAGCAGGTACATTCCCTGCTCTGCATGGATGGAGGTTGCATGTTAACAGCACAGCAGCCAAAAATTTACACCAGCAGGTAAACAGAACATGCTGTAAGATCTGTACTTTGAGTTCAAGTTCTGCACCACCAGTCAACACCAATGTAGAGGTCGCTCACATATGCATCATTGGCAACACTAGTACTACAGTAACACAGTCGATCCCAGATATATCAAATTATTGACTATATCGAACAGTTGAAAAATCCCATTGAATTTCCCATGCAAAAGTACGGGACCTGTGCACCCGTATATCGAACTCCCGCACGACGGCAAATCCGCTATATCAGACGCTGCGTTGCGCCGAAGCCCAGGAAGTGAATTTTTCCTAGCGAACATTGATCAATTTTCGGCCGCATTCTAACAAGTTCCGATCCATTTTCATGCACAGGTGATGAAAAAGCGGTGTTATTCCATCGCACTGTTCTGGTTCATTGCGCGGCGCTTGCAAGTGCACTGGTATGTTTGATGCATGATCTGCAGGTCTTAAAGCGAGGGCATAGTGTTTTTCGAAAAGACCAATTGCCAAGGACACCAAGGTGAGAATGCTTAGTGACTCGACGACCTGGTTGCAGAATTCGCATTCCCTTCCTTGCTTGTTAGCGCACAATGGCATGCGATGGGCATGCGAGCCTCCAAAGCATGTCCTTCGCGATGTGCAACCTCGTGACATTTTTTTTTCTTTAGTGTTTTCAGTTTTAATATGCATGTTTTGGAGGCTACAAGCTAAAAGCAGCGGCTGCCAACTACAAAACCAAAAGTGACATCGATATCGCCAACATGTGGAAAATCAGATGGAACTCGGCATTGTCTTTTAATCTTTATGGACATGTGTACTTCTCGCCTCGTTCGTTATAAATTATCATTCGGGAGTTGGAACAGAATGTCGACCCACTTGTAGCGATAAAAAAGCATGACCGGCGCTTTGAGTGACATCTACTAAAGCACCGTCATAAACTCTCCTTGCGGACCAGGTGATGACTTCGGGTGCGCCATAACGACTGACAACCGCATGCGGTGCCTCAGTGAATTCTGCAACTTCTCAGTGTTTCCGGGCACCATCTCGGACAGTGAGCGACTTGATTGGTGAAGATGACGATGTAGCTGTTTCTGTCTGCATCAATGCTGAAATCATGGCTCCCATTGCTGTTGCCGCGAAAGTGTACCCCTGCAGTTATGAATGCCAATGCCTTCGCTGCTGTGGCGAACCAACCTTTCGCAGCGCTTCAAAGCTTGCATCGGCGTTCTGCGTCAGTTAACGCTGTTGTGGATGAAGGGGCTGAATTTGCTTATTCGAAAAGCTTCAATGATATTGAGGATGACTGGAGTTTGCCAGTGCGCAAGATATTTTATGCAAAATAAAGTACGATAAATTTGTAGTTCACACCTTATTCTTCTTTAAACTGTGAGTGAATCATTATGTTAGCACATGTAATGATTTCTGACGCCTGAAATACTTTAATTTAGGCCTTCAGTGCGCATATTTTGTATTTTGAATTATTAATATATCCGGGATCGACTGTTTTTGTTGGTGCATTACATCCCAAAACAATGATAGGGCTATGCCGTATAGACTTCGAAAATTTCAAGTACCTGAAGTTCCTTAACATGCGCCTAAATCTGAGCACATTCAGCCTCCACCGAAATGCAGCCAGCCCGGATGAGATTCAATCCTGCCGCCTTTTGAGTCACCAGTCAAGCACCATAACAACTAGATTACCACCGTGGGTCATTTCATTTTTAACACGGCATTTCACGATGGATAATACGTTGGCGGATGATGTAAGGTTCCTTGATTTCTTTCTCTCCGCCAAGAGAACAGCGTCAACTGAAGATTGCAGTACAAATGCTGCTCATCGCCCGACCTACACTACATATGAACCGATAAACGCCCGACTGACCAAGAGCGGCACAGACGCCTACAGTATCTACAGATGCAAACAATGGGCAAATGTACAAAGACACAACCAACTCCACTACCTGTGCGAACTGGCTGCCTATATCTCAATAACGAAACCTGCAAACAAGCGTACATGTAGACAGGCAGCTGCTGCATCCCGCGAAGCATACGAGAAACTGTGGACATCGTCCCGAGATCACCGACATCTTATTTGCGAGCATGGCGTTGCCACCTATCACTGGGCTTGTTTGCGAACTGCCTACAGAGTGACCGCATAGGAAGGTCACCTAAAGAAGCGTGGCAGTGCGCAGGTTTCCCCTCAGGACAGTGTCCATGGCAACCTGGAACACCACCTGCACATTGCTTGTGTCGGTGGCCGTGGTGAAGTGAGGGTACACGACCTTGTTCGGGTCCCGGTTGCGGCTCTGGAACTTGTGCTGGATGAAAAGTGCGCCGCTGTCCACGTCATAGTCGGCACCTGCATGCATTTGTGCACACAACTTGAATTAAGTGGATTGTCTCAGCTGCAGGGGCATCTACTTGGATCACTGTACGTGTTTCACAGTCGTATGACTTCAGTGAGGTTAGTGGTAGATAGCAACACTAAGTTCCGCAGGCGTGATGCTACGAGTTTACCATCTCACACGTTATTACGGTGCCGTCATACGTGATGTGTGTGGCACACAGATCCGCAGTCCATTGTCACAGCGGTTCTACTGCAATGTGACAACCTTTATAAAGAGAAGTGGGAAAGAGAAAAAAAAAACACCAGGCTTGCGCGGAACGCACGGCACAGTCACAACAAAAGCTGCAAGAGTGGCCTTTCAGAGCCTTTGCTGAAAACACTATTTGGGTTGGGTAACTGCGACAAGTGCACTTGCACGGTACCCACTATGCCATGAATCACCATACATTTTGTGTAGTAGGGGGGCATTCACTATGCCATCCTTCACAATTCTTCAGACAAATATGGTACCCGCTACATACTTGCAAGAAATTCTGTGCAATTTTTGATGCTCTGGCTGACGAAGAAGAAGAATTATACCTGAAGCATTTGTAATGGGTTGGAACTTTCGATGATGCACTCATTACGCAATTCGCACTGTGTGATGCCTGGTTGTTCCTTTGCTGTTTTAAAACACTTTATTACTAATAAAAATGCAATTCCTTTTTCGACATCAAGCCTGCCTAAGGTCAGTTTGCAACAGAGTTTCAAGCACAGGCGTGGCTCTTTGGTAGAATACTGGGGACTTGGTAGAATACTGGGGCATGCAGGGGACCCGGATTCAAATCCCATTGTGTCCTTGGTGTTTATTTACTTAAGTCTTTTTTTTTTCTTATTTTGCACTATGATGGTTATGGACACCAATGGTGGCAGCAGCGGTGGCCAAAACCAGCGGTGCACGTTACCCGTGTTGTGACCTCATAACAGCTTTCGCTTTAAAAGGTGTTCTGGCACAAGCCATTGAAGAACAGTGGTAGAACTCAGCCACAGCTTTTTAGTTGCCTTACCACATTTATCACGCAATTGTTACCCTGTGTAGAGGATGCAACCTGACACCCGCCATTCGTGACATCAATGCCTGCACCAGCCAGTTAGGCCTCATCTTCTGTTCTGTTTCTCATTCTTGCTACTCTCTGCCTGGCACAGAATCTCGATGATACAATTATGGTTAACACGAATTCCTTGATGGGACGAATCTTAAGGTTGTTTTGGATGGACTACAACATATAAAATACGCAGTGATTCGGTGTTATACGAACGGTCTCCCCAGCCTTTGCGGACGATAGACCTCTACCGGGGTACGTCACAGAATGACGTTACCGGTGCACGCGCAAGGCGGCGGCTGGCAAAACACTTCTGCCGGTGGCTGAGTGGGGTGCAGTCACTCAGTGCTTAGGGCAAGTTTTTTTTTCTTTTCTTTTTGAAAGCTTAATCTTGATCTCACAGTGGCAACATTAGCTGTGGTATGTGTCAGAGAACATCTAGGTGTATGGTAAAGTGCATGATGAAATATTTGCCAGGCTGGCTAACTATCTTGGAGAAGTGAACACACGTGGAGGCCTGTGCGAGGAACAGCGGGGCATCGTCTTCGAAAATGTACAGTGTGGACTGTGGCATGCAGTGAGCGTTGAAAGGCATCGTCAATGTTGGTTCACATTTGTGGACGGTGAAACTGGGAATATTGTGCATGGTGTGTGCAGTGTGAATAACGCAATGTGTCTTGTTTGCGAAAACACTGGTATTCGGTGTTGGCCGGTTGCAATAACCGGTTGTCGATGAAACATTACGATCTGACATTTTAGTCAAAGTAAAAATGCATTTGATGCAATCATCTGCGAGTAGGTACATCTCAGCGTATGCGCGGCGTGCAGAAAAATAAAAGTGCATAATCTCTTGGCGATATATACGACAATGCATAAAGCTATAAGCATGTTGTAGCGTTGCTGAATCTGCATATACACTTCATCACGGCTATAACTCATATTATCAGATATCTGATACGTGTTAATAAGAACAGCGGAGATTTTCGTTTCTTATCTACTTTGTGCTTTTACGGCTCGATCCTTATGAAGTGACAATGTGCATTAGAAGTTTGTGTATCAGGCCTAAAGGAGCAACATAGGTACGAAAATACGTTATAAGTTTCAAATGCAGCAAGGTAACTGTGTCAGATAATACTATATATTATTAAGTTGTCGGGTTTTATATCACATGAGGGTTATTGAGAAACGCAGCAGCAGAATTTCACTTTAATTTTCACGAGGTTATGTTTACCTCAGCCTAATGCATGTCAAAAGGTGCTTCTTTCTTTCTTTTTTTTTTTTTTCGTTCATCTCCGATCAGACTCTCACGCAATGAGTGAGAATTTTATTCGTAACGTCGCGCACAGCAGCTCAAAACCATGCTGCCGCCAATGCTGTATCTCGTTTAAAACTGCATTGCACATGCCACGATATAAATTGAATAAGTCTACAACTATGCCATGCAAATATTTCTCAAAAAGCCAGCCACCATGTACATTCGATTGATTGATTCGTGGGGTTTAACGTCCCAAAACCACCATTTGATTATGAGAGACGCCGTAGTGAAGGGCTCCGGAAATTTAGACCACCTGGGGTTCTTTAACGTGCACCCAAATCTGAGCACACGGGCCTACAACATTTCCGCCTCCATCCGAAATGCAGCCGCCGCAGCCGGGAATCGAACCCGCGACCTGCGGGTCAGCAGCCGAGTACCTTAGCCACTAGACCACCGCGGCAGGGCCACCATGTACATTCAAAACGTTCGCTTTCGAAAAAGATCAGACTTTTTTGTGGCTGCCATCTACGTGGGTGAAGCCCACTGCATGCTAGTCGCATCTCTCAGTACTCTAAGTAAAGTTTCTCCTTCCATACATCTACGACGAGCAAATTGCCACACTATGAGCAGTGACCTTCCGCGGCCCCCTTCTTTCAAAAGCTTTTTAGAACATAGCAATGTAGAAATTTTTGTCAAAGAAATGCAGACACGCAGCTCTGCTAAGCAGAAAGATGCCGAACTTTCTTGCCAACCAACTCCTGCTCCGAGAGAGGGTATGGTGGGCGGGGTGCCCGCAGTGACGTCACACTGTTTGCAAACAGGGAGAAGTCTATTGGCTGCTGCACGGCAGCAGCGCAATGCGGCTTGTCTGTGGGAGAAAAGCCCAAGCTAAACGGTGTGAATTTGGCAAAAGTCGCTGGAATTTTCATCACTTTAATGGCCAGGAAAACAAACTGCGAGGCCGACGTGAAAAAAAAAAAAAAGTGGTACAAGGCCAATTTTCCTGCCACACGATAGCAGACCATCCTTTTGCTTCACAGCTTTGACTACACCGACTGCTCTAGCTCTCGAACCATGTGATGTAAACAACCAGCCGCTAATTCAACATGGTGGCAAGGGCGTCGACGGTGGATCACGTCAACGCTATTGCGTACTACCCTTGCAACACGTCAAAGCTCATGAACTTGATAATGACGTATTCATCGAGAGCCTGGTTTGGATTACGATCGCTGAGAACAGCGGAAGTAGAAGAGGGTGCAGCAGCAGCGAGACGGCATGCCCTAGTCTGTCTCGATTTTGCTGTTGCAGCTGTTGCGATGTTTTGATTTTGCAGCTGTTGCGATGGCCGAATCCATCGCAACAGCTGCGTCTGCTCGTGTGATTTCTGCTGGCGTATCTTCCGAAACCATTGTAAAGGCATAGACTGTTTCTCTTTTGTGCTTTGCACGCGTGACTAGAACATCAATTCTCAAGAAACAAGCAAACTGGAATGAATTCTCAAGCAGTGAGGGTGACCGTGGCATGCACGAGGGGCACAATGAATGTGAATGTTCCCGACGGGCGCGGCCGTGGTTTTCCAGCCGCTCTGGCGTTTTTGCTTGAATACTCCGGGACTGATCTTTTTTTTGTCGACATCCCGGCGCATTTTTCCGATAAGTTTGCATGCTTTTGCTCGTTTTGATTTCAAGTGAACGCGCGGCGCCAGCAGCATGAGTGAGGAAACTGCAGCACTTTAATGAGAGGCGCTGAAAGCAGGAAAGGTCAAAGAACATCATGAACTTCTTTCAGTAAGAAGTAGTTGACCCCAATGTTCATCTTCATGATCAGCTTTAACTTGTTTTTGGTTCATACAAATTCGAGACGATACAAATATTTTGTGCGCTCCCTTCAAGTTCGTATCACTGAGATTCTACTGCATGTTTGCAATTCACATATATTACAAAACATTTGGGGAAGTGCCGTATTTACACGCGTATAACCTTCACCAGGAACAACCGAAAGTTTTAGCGGCAATGTGGTGGTGCGAATATTACGGGGGGAGGGGGGGGGGGTCTTGTAGTGCGAAGAAGCTTGGGATGCACTGCCGTTCGAAGCCTCTTCCTTTAGTCGCCAAACATGTCCCCGTCATACGCTTGCATAATCTGCTCCTTGTTCTTCACGCAAGAGCTCAGCGTGCTTTTCTTCACATTGAACTTTTCCATCACTTCTTTTCGAGATGCTCCCACTTGCAACTACTTCAATATTTTCCCCTTTGCAGACAAATCCTTTGCTTCATACTACGCCCTCTTCACTGCGGGAGTTGGGGCGGTTGGGGCCGCAGGAGACGGAGGCGAAGCCATTCCGGCGTTGCTTGCGTGGTGGTCACGTGGGCGCGCACGAAGTAGATAATACAAACACACACAAAACACGCACGGTGATAAAAACGAAATAAAAACCGCTGAACTTTTCAAAAACAGCAAACAGTAAGACTGCAGATAACACTGATCACGTACAAATAAATAATTTAAACCACACTAGAGGTGAGCAATCCAACTCAACAGTCACGCAAAGGTGTTTAAGGTGCAAGAAGTAAAGGAAAGGCAAATCTGTGGGCTGCCCGTTGCTGATGACAGTAGTGATGCACTGCCTTCCATTTTAGTTGTTTAAACAACCATGTGTGTGTGTGTGTGTGTTTTTGTGCCTCTGAGATGTACTACCCATGAATGAAGTTTTGAATCTCAGAGGCCGCAATCCGGTCCCAATGTTGTTTAGGTGCGCCGTCGATTTGGCCGGCGGAATCCGCTGCTGCTTTCTTGTCATGACTCGACTGCGGTCGGACGTTCGAATTAACTGAAGCGTGGCCGAATTTGTCCGAATTAATGAGAGTTTTATGTCATAGAACAATGTACATTGTACGGGACCAGACGCTATGACTGAATTAACCAAAATTCCAAATTAACAGGGGTGGAATTAACGAGATTTTACTGTAAAATTATTCTTACTTCTTCACCACTTGATCGTCTTCATTTACTTTACGTGGGTGCCGCTATCACGATGGGCAACCAACCCGGGAAAGCATTTCCTGCGCTTTTCGCCCGGAGTGAAAGATGCTTAAGTAGTTATACAAGAATGGTCAGACAAAAAGAATGAGTGTGCCCACCTTTATAGTCCGGCAGGTAGTAGCGCAGATGCCGGTCCGAATAGAGGATCTTTTCCCGGAACAGGTCCAACTTGTTCAGGAACAAAATCTGCGAATGAGTTCACGATGGTCTTTGTTAGAGGCATCTGAATATTTGAGCACTTCGAATATTCGAACAAATATTACAGTATTCAAACTCGCTTCGATTCGAATTTAAATTATAGAAATTGCAATGTGTACTCAAACCTTGATATAACGAACCCGGATATAACGAAGTGAAGAATACTCTCGCAATATATACAGCAGTTGAAATATACTTTAATAAGGAATTTTTGGATATAATGAGTTACCGTCGTGCAATATACAACTTTGTTATAACAAGGTGGGAGTGCATTCAAAATTAATGAATACATGCTTGAATGCACCTATGCCACAAAAATCTACACTGCCTGAAAAGCCCCGCCTCAAGGTTAAATGAATGCATTAGCCTCACATCGATTCATCATTTCTAAGCTTAGGAGCTTGTTATACTGGCTGATGTGCTATAAGTATAGTAAATAATAAAATGGAACATATTTTAAAGGCTATCGCCTACATTCTACCGAATGTTATATGCTTCTACTACTCAAACTTGTTTCCACTTTCCTTCGACCAGAAAAAGAATGATATGTGCATGTGCCTTGTTTCAATTAAAAAAAAAAAAAAGAATTGTGCAGGTTAGCCGAGTCGTGGCATCTTATGCGATATATAATATTCAAATTAGATTTGAAATTATGGAACCAAATTGCAATTCATGCAGGCCTAATTTCATTATTTGCACAAGTCAAGTTTATTAAATAGTTCAGTTGAGTTACATGGTTAGCGTTATTATAGCAGGAGGTCCCAAAGTTTCAGAGAAACTAACAGGGGGACCTCCTATGGCTACATAGATGGGGTAATTACAAAAAATACAGCAATAATATACGGACTTGTGAGTAATAATGAATAATCTTGATTAACAATAAAAATACGATCAATACACAACATGATGGCAATACTCACTATTGAAAAATAACAAGGAAATAGTCAAAAGCAAGTAAAAAACACTATTAATGAACTCTACGTGACAAATGCAACACGTTTCATTATCAGTGTTATCAATTATACAAAGGCAAATTGAAGTAGTAAAATAGCACAGAACTGTGGAGAGCTATTAACAGTTAATTACACAAATCGGATGAGTTGATTAATTCCTGAACGTAATATTGCTTACTGCGCATAAGTGAAAATATGGATGTTATGCGATGATTTCAATTCGAAAGCCAATGAATTCCAAATGGCTATGCTAGTAAATAAGGTTGAGAACTTGCCGTAGTTTGTCCTTACGGCCGGCAAAGGAAGATTATTGCACTGGGAAAACCGGGTGATGTTACCATTAGTTAAGTGACGATGATCAATGCATGCAATAAAAATGTCATGCGTGATGAGTCTAAAGGCGACAATGGACATTCTATGACAAAATAATTGTCTCAATGGGAGTATGTTAAGCAGAGGAAACAACGAGCTGCAGGAGAAGTAAAATGGGCTGAAAGTCATTAATCTAACTGCTTGATTCTGAAGTCGCTGCGAACGTTCGATGTGCATGAAATATGTGTTTATTTATTTATTAGAATACCCTCAGGGCCCGTAGGGCATTACAGAGGGGGTGGGTACAACATTTATAACACACAAGAAAAAAAGACAAAATAAAGAAACAAGTGTCAGATGCGCAAATCAGGAAGGCAACATAAGTCAACTAAAAATGTATAAGAATTCAAGCACATACAAGACAAAGATAGATAATGGAAACTGCGTATAGTTACAAGCATTGCTGAGAAATTGCAGTCTTGAATAACAAAGGGTCTGTTATTGTTACGACGGAAGAGGGAAGGTGGTTCCAATCGGCGGCTGTTTTCGGTAAGAAGGCTGCTGAAAAGAATTTGGTGCGGCAAAACGGAATGGCAACCTTATGCTGATGATCAATGCGCGATGAGTTGGCCCAAGATGATACGCAATACGAAATATGGCTATGAATATAAGCAAAATACAAAGTACGTATGATGTGAGGCGGAAGATAAGTTCGTGTCTTGATGATAATGTGAATACCAAATGCAATTTTTTTAACGAGTGATGCTGCATGTTTATGAAATTTTAGTTCGCTATCTAAGATGACGCCAAGAAACCGCGCTTCACTGTAAATGTTTATGACAATATTACCAATGTGAAGGGAAGGTTGTATGTCAAGTGAAATGCGCGGGGGGATGGAACAACATAAACACAGTTTTAGTAGCATTGATCTGAAGATAATTGGCCTGGCACTATAAAGTTATGTTATGTAAATCTGTGTTGAGGTCAGACTGGAGTGAAGAAACTGATTTAGATGACTGAAAGATGGTTGTGTCGTCAGCGTAAAGTATGCACTTGGTCCTTGTAAGAATGGTAGGTAGATCATTATAAACATCAAAAATGAAAGTGGGCCTAAAATTGATCCCGTGGAACACCAACGTTAATTAACTTGGGTGTTGAAAGATGGCCATTAACATGAACCATTTGAGACCGGTTACTGAGGTAGCTCTTAATTAAACTTAGTGGCAAACCAGACATACTAAATGATTCGAGTTTAGCAAGTCGAATGTGATGATTTATAGTGTCAAAAGCCTTCATCAAAACGATAAACACAGATCCCACAAGTAACCCTCTATCAATAGCATGTTTAATTTCCTCCATTAAGGTAATTAGTGCCAGGTCAGTGGAATATCCTTGACGGAATCCGAATAGTTGTGGAGATAGAAGATTAAATTTTTTCAGATAACGCATTAATCTAATGCGGAATAACTTTTCAATTACCTTACCGAAGAAAGGCAGGATACAGATTGGCCTATAATTCTGTACAAAAGTCTTATCACCCTTCTTAAAAACTGGAACTATTTTACCAGCCTTAAGGCAGCTCGGAAACACACCCATTGAAAACAGCTTGTTAATTACTGCCAAAGGTGGTGACATTAAGTTTGAAATTAGTTTTACTTTAAAAGGATCAATATTATCTAACAAACCTAGTCTTTGAATGCATCTGATACACGAATCCCGTCAGCCACTGGTAATTCCCAATTCCACCCATAAAAGAAACACTGAAGTGACACAATGACTTATTTTTATTGACAAACTGCACTTTGAGAACTCTAATGTAGCAAGTTTCACCATAATAATAAGTTCCATATTAGAGGAGAAAATCAAGGTTGAAGTTTATTTTTAAATTTCTCGCCGAAACCTCCACACGTAACATCAATAATTTCAAAACATCTATATTGCACATTTTGACGACATCGGCTGAATGACATTAACTTAAACATCGTACGTTAGGTCTACAACACCCAAAGATGACAATGTACTTCATTTTTATCGATTAAAAGCTATGTAGGAACACCTTGACAATCTATGAAGTCATGGTGTTTGATGTGGGAGTCTCCAGGTGGCATCTCCACCCGCACTTTCTTTTTCACCCGTTTGGTCGCTTACCAAGCGTTCTCTCGCGTCAAAAGTCGTGTTTTCGGGATTGTGGAATTGTGCTTCATTGATATGCGAAAAATCTTTCTTCCATTTATTGTCTCAGTAAGAATGGATAATAAAGCAAGTGTTCGAAACACCAGAACTGCTCCTTTTTTTTTTTCTATAAGAACACCCACAATATTGCAGCCAATAAAACTGGTTTGTTGCCTCGAAGCGTCTAGGTGTTTAAGATGCATGACTGTTATGCTGTTAATGATTTGTGTAATTTCCATCATTAGAATGTTTTCCTCTTGAAAGTATTTCGCATATTGTTGCATTTGTAGTACCCATTACACTCATACCTCGTTATAATGAAACGAGATATAACGAAATAATAGATATACCGAAGTAAATGAAATTCCCCTTGAAAGCTCCATTGATAACCGTGCATTTTAAACCTTGTTGTAAAGAAGTAAAACTAACCGGTAAATTAATATAGCAAACTAAATTAGTCTATCAAATAGTCTATAAAAAACAAAAGAACTATCGTAGTGTGTTAAGTATATCGTTTTCTGCAGAGTTTGACGCTCATTCGGCGCGGCTCTTTCAAAACTCTCGCGCTGACATTACAGCCATGCAACGCACGGCCTAGAGAGCCCTCCTTCTCACACAGCCAGCAGAGAAGATTGAGGAAGTGGTCAGCAGGTTACACGACCGAGAAGCAGCGCCGTGGTGCAAAGCGATTTCCCTCTCACATATAAGGACACACGATGGGGAAGCTTCAGAAGACTTACATTTACTCAATAATCAGAGGACATCCGTCATTATTGAAGTAATCGGTGATGCGCATCCGCACACGTTTGCCTTGCAGCGAGTCAATAAATTTCGCATGTAGTTTGCAAAGCTTAGTAGCTCGCAACCAAGTCCAGCACCAACACTCTCTAAAGACGGTGGCAACGACTGCGTCTCCGATACTACCCTTTGCACCAAGAAAGGAGGAGTCTCCGCAACAGTTTTACTTTTTTTAAAGATGATAGTTTTCCTTGGGGACCTTCGACGCAAAAATTTTGGTCTGTCTGTCTGTACATTTGTCTATTTGTCCACTCTTAACAGCATCGGGTATTTGAAACGGTCGACCCCATCCGCAGCGCCCACCTATGTTGCTCAAGCTTCAGCGTTCATACTTGTGCAATTGTCGATTAAAAAGCAATTATCGCGCGTGTCTGGGGCACCATAAGAACACGTATATATTCTGCATGGCACCATAACAACACGCATATATTCTGCATGTGCGCCTTTTACTAGAAAAGGCATACGTAAATAATTTTAAGGACCGTAGCGCTTATCACGATGCGCTGACCATCCAACGCTTGCACGGAAAGGCGAGTGTTTCCAAACGCTTTGCTAAAACGAGACGGTGGTGGCACCTACCCGTCGCCTTGCGTTCTACACCTTATCACCCCTGAGATGGGCGCGCACACTCATCTCAAATCCACGTGCTTTGTTTTATATACCGTAATTACTCGAATCTAACGCGCACCTTTTTTCCGGTTAAGCGAGTTCATAAATCGCATGCGCGTTACAATCGAGTACGAAAAAAAAAATTACGGCCAATCTATTGCCATCAGCAAATCTAAAATGGCCGCCCCCTACGTGCGTCGGCATGGCGCGTCGTCCATTTCTGCCTATGTGTTTCTCATGTGTGGCACTTCGTACGTGTGCTGAGGAGTTCGTCATCTAGTAGTGCATTAGCATCGACGGCGTGGAATGGCCGACTCCAAAAACTCAAGTGCACCACGATGCCGCTTTTAAAAGAAAAGTCATCGCGTGTGCAGAAACGGACGGAAATCGGGCCGCATCGCGGTCGTTCGGAGTTCCCGAAACGTGCGTGCGGGACCGGCGGAAACAAAAGCAGAAGATTTTCGACAGCAAAGCTTTACGCAAAGGCTTCAGTGGACCACAGCAGGGTCGGTTTCCGCAAATTAAAGAGCTGCTGGGCGAGTATGTGCTTTAGCAGCGAGCAGCACAGCGGCCCGTGACGGCAGAACTGCTCCAAGTGCGGGCTATGCAATTAGTCTTAGAAAAATGTCTAATGCGGAGCCAGTTTTAAGCGAGCAGGTGCTGGCTAACTAACTTTATGAAGAGGAAAGGCTTTTCTCTCCGAAGGGGAACATGCATATGCGAAAAGTTTTGCGGAGGAGTACGATGAAAAGCTTCACAGTTTTCAGAGGTTCGTCCTAAACTTGCGGCGCAACAACGACTACCTGCTTGGGCAAATCGGGAATGCCGATCAGACGCCTCTTTACTTCGACATGCCTTTATTTCGAAATGATAGGTTGTGTGTTACACACTACTGAGGAGGTATTACTAATGAAATAAATGCAGCATAATTAATTCGTGACAACTTGCCCGTGCGAGTTATATATTCGGATGTAAGTGCAACATGTTGAGCGTTGTAGACTTCTTTATAAGTAATGAAAACAGCTTGTTTGTTTGAAACTTGCTTAGTTGGTTTTTAATTACTATTTACGCAATTCACGATTCATTCGTTACCGAATAGCAGTGGAAATTGATTGATTGATATGTGAGGTTTAACATCCCAAAAACACCATATAATTATGAGAGACGCCATAGTGGAGGGCTCCAGAAATTCCGACCACCTGGGGTTCTCCGACGCGCACCCAAATCTGAGCACACGGGCCTACAACATTTCCGCCTCCATCTGAAATGCAGCCGCCGCAGCCGGGATTCGATCCCTCGACCTGTGGGTCACGGCATGTTCAAATTAACCGTCGCAAGTGCATGCGCATTCGAATTACAGGGCGTTTTTACCCATTGGAATACACATGACTTTGACAGAACCACAGCATGAGTTAAGCGTGTGGATTAAGTGTGTTCGAACTAATGAAATTCGGCTGTGTTTATTTTCCCTCGCATGCGTGGTTGCGTAGTGGTACATCAGGCGGCGAGGCAGTTTCCTTCTTTGCATGCTTATAGGTGTGCGGCCGCCTGAGCATACATTACCACAAACTGTTATAACCGATATAACGAAATAATGAATATAACGAAATAATTGTGGCTCCCCTTCAACTTCATTATAACGAGGTTTGAGTGTATAATGACTTTTGAACTGTGTTATGGTATTGCCACGTGCAACTCCCCTACGTAATGCCTCACGGCGATGTAGATGATGTGTAAAAAAAAAAATGAATAGAAATTTATACAAGAATTATGACAAAATCAAGCCAAACAAATGACAGCAAATCAAGTTTGAACAAATAATAAATGAAGCAGGAATGTTTAATAAAGTTCAGCTGGAGGATGACATACATAAGGAAATAAATGAGCACAATTAAAATCTGCATTGGCACAGACAAAATGCAAAAAGCAAAGCACAGGAAAAACCAGTCTAGCAAAATGTTTACTGGAGAACTGATGACAGGAGGAAAAATTTAGGAAGCGAAATTTCTGGCCCATTTAATTTCAGCGGGAAAGCTGCTGCAGGTCATCGCACTAGCAGAATTCTGCAAAAACCTTCTACCATGAGACTCAAACCTCAATATAACAAACAAGAATACTGTATTTGCTCGCATAATGATCACACTCGCATAATGATTGCACCCTGAAATTGCCGCATCGACATGTCATGTGCCAAGTCTAGCTAAACACGCCTATCACTGTTTCTGTGATCTGAAAGCGGGCATCACTATGCTAATGCCGTCAATTTACCGATTTAAATGAAATCATTCCTTATTTAGATGGAAGAAACTGTTTTGACGCACGTGATGTACTCAAAACTGCCATAACTGACGCAAAAAACAAAAAATGCGGTGGCTTCGCTCCACGGAGTGCTTCGCTCCGTCAGCCGCCATGTTTGTTTTGACATCCCGCAGTGCTACAGCGGGGGCCGCCTGTTGGTCGACCTGTGTTCATCCCGCAGCAATGTTTTTTTTTTTTCCTGAGACCACGTTTTTTTTTTTTTTGGTGTGCTTTGTGAAAGTTTGACGAAGCGCCGTTTCGCCATGGGGTGGTATGCGAGCTTTACTGCCGCGTTCAAGCTGAAGGCGCTTGACTATGAGCTAGAGCACGGCAACCGCGCTGCCGGCAGACATTTTGGCGTCGACGAAATTCGAATCCGATATTGGAAAAAACAGGGCGACATGCTCATGGATACTAACAGCACGCGATGGGCTTTCCGTGGACCCAAATCTGGCAAGTTCCCTGACACTGAAAAGGCAGTCCTCGAATACATGCAGGATATGCGCAAGGACGGTTATGCAGTGTCATTAGACATGATACGGACGCAGGCGTGCACAGTATCTCGGAGGCTGGGATTAGCCACAAAAGACTTCAGCGCCAGTTCTAGCTGGACGACACGCTTCATGCGGTAGAATGGACTGTCACTGGCATTTTCAATGCGCTCGACGGAACGGAAGATGACCCTCTGTGGGACAGTGAAGACACTGCAGGTACCGACAGGGAATCGTGCGGCGATGACACTGACGCCAGTGATGCTTTGGAGTCTGAATGAACATTAGGGGGTCAGAGAGGTAAAAAATAAAAGGGCAGTGTGCCATGCATGTAGCTCTTGCGTAATGTGTGCATTTTATTACAAAGGTAAGCCTTAATTAACTTTTATTTTTGGTTATGTTCATGATAGCTATCGTAAGAATTCTGATTAGCGACATTTTTGCGTTTCCGGTGCTCAGAATATTTTTTCACAAAAAATTTACCCCGCGCAATGATCGCATCCCGAAATCGATTTAAAAAAAAAAAAGTGCGATCATTATGCGACCACATACGGTATAACGACTTATCGCTTATAACAAACTGAATGAAGAATAGTCCAGCCAGAAATACAGTGTCACAGATGAACGTTTACAATGAGTTTTTGGATATAACAAAGTTATTTTGGGAGCACATGTCATTCTGTTATAATGAGGCTTGAGTGTAACACATTAGAAGTTAGCAAACTAACCACACCATAGAACGAGTGCCTGTGGTTTCAAGCTGGCATCTCAAGACAACTTAATGAAAACCAGAACGCTATCTACAGTTTTATTTTTCAAGGGTATTGCTGACCTATTCAGAAGATGCATCAATTATTTATCTGGTGCACATATTTACAGCAGTTAAAGACACGTGATCAGAAAAATTACGAAAATGCTTCCGACGTGGCATGTATGCAGCAATTTCTACATTAAAAGCAGATGGTAGTCACTGACCATGGACGTGTCGGTGAAGAACATGTTATTGCAGATGGACGAGAACAGCTTCAGGCTTTCGTGCAGCCGGTTCTGAAAAGGGGGAACACGTGGAACACACAAAGTGTCAGCGTTAGGGTCGCAAAAAGAAGCACGGGCACCTGTGTTCTAAGATGCTACTGAGCAAACAAGCTAATAGTCATCACAAAAGGAGCCCCAAAGAAGTGAGGAATAATGAATTTTCCCATTCCGGAAAATATTTTTAATTATGATTAAAAAATACCACTCAAATAGGAAGGAGAGTTTAAAAAAGGGAACCCCTTAATATGCCTATACACTCAGCTACTCAGTCATTCACAAACACGCCACTATTAGTGAACGACCAATGGCCAGTGGCAAAAGCGATGATCAGTAAAATTTGCCATAAAAATGTAAATAGGCAAAAAAAAGTGATAGGCGACTAGAAAAAAAGAGACGCACCGATTTTATTTGTGAAATTAAGCTCCATTTGTAAAACTATGCTTGGACTATTTCACCTGAAATGATGGCTTGGTTCGCACTCTGATTTGGCACCACTATAAGAAGTAAAGTAGCAAACGCTATGCTGCCGATGAACACAGTGTCAATGTAGGGCAGACGCTTGAACATTGCCACTAAAGTAACGTATTTACTTGAATAATTTGCACCCTTGAAGAATTTATACTTCCCAAATATTTTGCCAGCGTTACTAAAAAAAAACTTTACTTGCATATTTTGCGCTTGCCGACCTGCCCAAGCCAGCTAGACGGCACACGCACGAAAAGTGCTTTGGACCTTTGGATGCTTTAGACGGGCACGCTGGAAAAGCGCCTTCCCGTGTAGATGAGCGCAGTCAAACGGGCTGCAAGTGCAGTCTTTTTTCCGAGCACTTTCCCCGAACTATGGTCCCTCCGTACCCAAACACTTAAACTGGTTGACAGGTCACCTAAACTACACTCTACCAGATCTGCCCAGGTGTTTGCCTCCCTCTATCTCACCATCTCTATGACTGTGAGAATGCATGCTCGCGTCACGTCACGGACAACTTTCTGCATTGGAGGTGTGCGAGGGCCTGTCGCCCTGTCCCGCCAACTGTTCCGCTCGTTCACTGTGTCCACACTGCAATGCATGAATGCTTGATTTCCAAAGTTTAGGTTTCACTATACGGTTGTCGCCTTTTACTGTCACTTAGCAATAAGTTACAATAATTTTAAATACGGTGAAATTAAAGCTTACTGTTATAAAGTGTGCCAAAGAAAACAGGAACTGTGCCACCTCTAAACACTTGAGCCTGAAGTTCCTTAACGTGTGACGATTGGTGCAATTGGGCAGAAGAAAGCACGCTTGCTAATACAAGCTTCCTGCCGTTAAAGAAGGCCTTTTCAATGATGTGCAAATGCTTAGATTTTCCAGTATCGTCGTGTTGTGGGACCTAGTTTCTCCCAGCATTGTCGAGAAGGGTTTCAAGAAAGTGGGTATTCAAACATGCTCGACAGACCTGAAGATGATGCACTTTGGGAGGGCGGTGACAGCGGCCGTGACAATGATTCCCAATCGGACTTATCGATCAGTGATTCTGACTAGAGCGCGCGTAATCGGATCTCACTGGTTAATGCGTGCTAATTTTGTTAAATTAAAAAGTACACTTCACTTGTGCTCCACTTCATCTTCATTTTTTTTCTATTTTTAATGTATATATATTGAGTGAATTTAAGCTATTGCACATTAGTATTTAATATGCATTCGTGAAATCCCTGCATAATTTGCACGACTTCTTTTTGGAACTCCAAAGTCGCGAAAAAAAAGTTCACAAATTATTCGAGTAAACACGGCATGTGTGCTGCAAAAAAAAATGGCAGCATATCCCCGGAGTGAATGATGGAGAGTGGGGCGAAGCATTCGTCCGTCCATGCGTCCGTCTGTGTGACCGTCCATGCGTCTGTTTGTGCGCCCGTCCCTGCGTTCTTTCATGCATCCGCCCCTGCGTCCGTTCATGCGTCCATCCATGCATCTGTTTGTGTGTCCGTTCGTTCATCTATTCAACACTCCAAGTTCCACCATCTCGCATCTTTTTATCATATATTCCCCATATAGAAGCACCGCCATCCAGCGGACATTCCAAGGACTAAACGAGAGGTGGCACACGCACACTTTCTTACGGCCTGCGCTTTGGGTCCACTTCCCACCTTTAACCACCTCGAGTTCATGGTATATTCTAGTTCACTGTATTCATGGCGCTGCGACCAAACGCTCGCTAAACCTTTCGAAAACCAAGGAGGTTACGCCCAGCGAGTATAACGTAGCAACCTTTCCCTGTCAGATAGGGCTCAATTTACATGCCAATGGCTGCTAATGAGAAATGAGAGACAGGAGAATTCGGCTTTTACTTTCTTACGGCTTGCGCTTCGTATCTACTTCTCATTTTTAACCACCTTGAGTTCATTCATGGTATATACAAGTTCATTGTATTCATGGCACTGCGGCTCAACGCTCGCTAAACCTTTCTAAAGCTAAGGAGGTTACACCCAGCGAGTATAATGTAGCATCCCTTTCTTGTCCGATAGTGCTCAATGTACATGCCAATGGCTGCTAATGGGGATCGCAGCGTGCGCGTTGACTAAAAGCCGAATGCTCATGTCTCTCATTCCCCATTAGCAGCCATTGGCATGTACATTGAGCACTATTTTTTATTGTTAAACAACGCACAGAAGAAATCTCTCACTGGCACCACCTTGGAGGTCAAGTGTTATACCTATTTCGGGTATGTGCCACTGGTGGTTACATACGAGGGACACCCAAGCCACGCCATAAGGAGCTTCACCCCTAAAACAACCACAAATTCCTGACGCTGTCCACTCACCACGGTGGGGTCCTCCTGGAGGGTCATGTCGTAGCCACTCAGGGCCACGACGTACAGAACGGCCTTGACGTCGTCAAAGCACTGGATCCACTTGCGCCGTTCCGACCGCTGACCACCCACGTCAAACATCCTGCAGGCAGGGCATATGCACACTCATCATAGTGGGACACTGGTGCGACACGGTTCCACGATTACTATGGTGGTGACCAGCCGTGCATCTCATCTACTGTAAGAGCGTGTAAGACCCGTATGCAAAGAGACGAAAAGAAAGACAACGTGCATACACATCACTAAAAGAGAGCTGACACGGTTTGCAATAAAGAAGTGCAACTAATCTCCTGAGATATTTGTTGCCAATTAGAAGCAGACTGCCAATCATGAGCAATTTTCACATACTATCTTCTGTTATGAAACAAATATCAGTGCACTCTTCTGTCACTCTTTACTATTCTTCTTGTCAATCGTCGCACTGTGAACCTGATGATGAAGTGGGTACAGTATAGACTGCTTATAACGTAAGTCACGGGAGTCGCGAATATCTGCACTGAGCTTCATCGATTTACCAAGTCCCAGATCACTCGCCGTCGGCCGGCGGACACCTCGGCTCATTGGCAGCTACGTCACATGCACGTGACCTAAATGTCCCGAGCCAGCCCGAGCGGCCTCGGGCCATTTGCGTGCTTGATGCTGGCTGCACCGCTGTGGTGTCTGCTATGCCAGGCTACGCCATCTGCTTCCTCCATAGCTGTGACACACGTCACATCGACGACCCAATTTTAACCTAAACAGTGGTTAGGTAGTGAAATATACCTTTTTCTTCTGTGACGCAACTTACTGTAAGAGGACTACTCGAGCTCGTGCGCATTGTAGACTGGCGTGGTGGTTCCACCGCTGTTTCTACTACTGTTTCTACTAGCGAGTATAACACGTGTTTGCCCGACCTTGGGGAATGCGCACATGCTCAACGTGGCTCAGAACACTGATGACAAGAACTGGGTGCGCAAACAATGCGAAATCCAGAAACATGTGAGAAGTGGACAGAAAAGCAAAGAGAGAGCAAGAGTGCATCGAAAATTTCCTGTGTCTAACTTGAGATGGCCGCACAGGCATGTGGACCACGGTGTCTGCCAGCTGCCGAAAAGAAATTGTTCGGACGGTCCCGGGCCGCCAGGCACGCGAAAAACGAACATGCGTATGAGCAATCTTGGACCAGTGGTCGGAGCTTCCAGTAGGTCCCCGAGAAAAACGAATGCGGGGCTGGCATCCGGGGCCGTCTGGAGCCGTCCGGGACATATAAATCGATGAAGCTCACTATAACCAAAGCAACCTTTTTCAGGGGCCGCAGTTGAGCAAAATATGTTGAGCATGCAGTCGTGTTCAAAGAAATTAACGCGAAAGGGGTTGGGGGGGGGTGTCTAACAAAAGAAAGCAAATTTGCACAGAAATTTGCTGAAAATTTCTCAGACTGCATCGATTATGCGCATCACACAGAAACTATGTCGAATCACGTCCGGAATTCCACGCACTGAAAGAAGCCAATCATGCGATTTCACGGGTGCGCACCCAATTTCACGACTGTGAATCACAAACCACCATTTGAGCGCTACACGTGCCACCCTCATTTTCATTAACGATATGCATCCCTTCAAGTGCAGCCACTGCAAAGAGATTCAATGATTCCGTACCAAACCGTGACTTAGCACGTGATCGCTACCAAAATACAACCAACGCTGATTAGGCCTAGCCTGCCGATCGGTATGCTGTCGTGGGAAGTTTGCCCACGACATGAAGATCGGGTGTGGAAAACATTGCACTCGAGTACTGAACCAAGGAACCTATGCGTAATAGGAAGTTTGCGTGCACGACTGGGAGAACGACGAAAACTCGCCAAGCTTATGCAAGATCGCGCACTGGCCCCAAAGGCTGAAAGTCGTGTGATAAAGCCGTAAAAGCTTTCAAATTTACAGACCAGATAGCTAACGTGATATCTGTAACAAGGCCCATAACGAGGACGCTTTTCTTGGCAGGATTGATAAGGAAGGGATCGCACATATCATGTTGAGCCACGCTAGCAACACTGGCACACTAGCCGCGTAGGCGCCAGTGCAAAGGCTTCCTGGGCAACCGCCCTCCTCCTTTACACAGCGAGCGCACGCAGCGTGCCACGGTGATTGTTTTCTTTTTTTTTTTCTTCCCTACACGCTACTTTGTGCACTTCGCGTTCTCTCCTCCTCGTTTGCTCCACAGCGGTGCTCCCAGCGTGCCTCCTTCCAGACGCACATGCGCTACCGCATTTGCCACATGACGATTTTCCAGCAACCGCATCATAATCGGTCTTTCATCTTGGGGGACTGCGCAATAAGCGGTATAAGCTGCTCTGAAACCAATGTTACATATGCTATTCATTGCTTGCAAGCTAAGGTAAGGGTAACACCAGAACACATCCCCAAGAAGCAACGCACTCAATACATGAAAATTGAAACTTGAGCTAGTCAGTACAGACTCATCTCTATATCAGCAGTACACTAAGGGATGGGGACTAAAAAGAGAAGGCACACAACATGGATGCTGACTCGTAACTGAATTTATTAAGAAAAAATACATGCAATTATAAAGTGGAAGTGAAAAACAGAAAATAAAACAGATAATCTTTGTAATGAACATGTGCATGTAGTGCTTAGGTATAGAAATTCTGTGTCCCTTGGCGTGATAAGATAGACACAATTTTCTCTCTTCTAGATGTGGAACGCTTTCATGATTTCTCTAGCTACACTCTCTTTATTGTATCACACTAACAACTATTGTCATAATACTCACAATATTGTTTATAACATCTTGTGCACCTTCTTTTCCTAGTCCCCGTCTCTCAATGCACTGCTAATATCAGGATGAACATTCAATAAAGTTGACTGTGGCACGCTATGGTGATACTAGTCGAAGCTTTCTATGAAACTAGTCGAGCTATGTAGGGGCTCTACCAACGACATGTGCACCCCATGCAGAACCAGTCAGGGTAGATGCATTGACGCTCACCTGAAGACAATGTCGTCGATCTTGAAGTGGGTCTCGATGATGCCGTTGGTGCGCACTCGGGCCCTGAGTACGTCCCGTGGCGTCGGCATGTACTTCTCCGAGCAGAGGCGGTCCATGTTCTCAAACAGGCTGCGAGGGAGATGAGGTCATCCATCTCGCACCTTATCATCCCACTTTATATCTCTTCAGCAAAAAAGCAGCACTATGTTATCATTGCCTTGCATTCGTAGGGTTATCCCAACGAGAACACAAACTTCATGTCAGTGAACAGACATCGCATGTTAACTAATGGAAGCCATGAACAAAAAAGAGCTACGAAGTGGGCAAATCAATAACCGTTTGTTGTTCTTGCATTATGGACGAAGGTGTCCCAGGAACGTGATAAACAGTGGTAGTGAACGAATAAAGTTGACATTATTGCCAGCATTCACAATGCCCTTGTCAGTATGTCAGACATACAGAAAGCATTGCAATATTCAAAGAAGCATATCAAGCAGCCTATAATAATCTTTTCAAACACGGAACGGTCAATACCTCATGCAATAAGCAAAGAAACAACCATGCTCACAGATCTCTTTTGACTTTTCTCTCTACTGCATAAAGGACCTGACTGTCTTCAAAGAGGCCCAACATGGCAGATTGTAAGAGTGAAAAAACAGGACGGGCTGCCATCACAGGACGTTTACACTGTCATCTGTGGTGCTCGCTGCTGAATGCACACCGACTACACAAAGCCCCAACTGGGAAACTTTTTTCGGGGAAGTAGTAGTAGTAGTAGTAGTAGTAGTAGTAGTAGTAGTAGTAGTAGAACTTTTATTTACAGTAAGCCAGTAAGTGCATCGAAGCTTCACTCACTACAGCGCGGAGTCGTTGAGCTCGTACTCGAAGCCCCGTGCGACGGCCAACCGGACACCCTTGTCGTTCCAGAGGTTCTTCAGGGCGGACGCCACGAAGGGCAGCATGGTGATGCTCTCGTCAAAGCAGCACTGACAGCTCAGCACCGTCTGCGCATACATCTGCATAACAGAGATACATTGCAGGTTGAGCTTTGCACTACGACGACGACGTATGAAATGGGGAGAAATGAAATACAAAACTCAATGAGCAAGATGTTCTTCCATCCACTTTAATGTCCTCACAATTAGCGTATCACAATTACATACCTACCAAGTTTGGAGAAACGGAATCCGGGAGATCTACTCAAAGGAGGGGGGGGGGGGGGTATTGTGATAGCAATTTTATAAACATTGTCCGAGGAATTTCGCGGTCGCCGCTGATCTGTACAGAGTCCAAACCGATAACATCGCTTATCGTTTGTTTTATGAGTGAGTAAAAACGCGCTAGGGCTAGGGACGAACGCCACTGAGCAGAGATGAAACGACTGGGCCGTCACCGTTGCGGGAAGGACACATACGATAACATCGCTCTGCGTGCGAGAACTGTCGCTTCTTGCTTACGAGTTATTTCGTCGAGCAAGGAACCAGAATACAGTCCTGCGGACCACTCGCCTTCCCCTAGCTTGGCGTTCTCCGTTCGTCGCTTGATCACGTAAGAAAACAGGCATTCTTTTCAGCAACCCTTGCGAATGAGTAAAAAAAAAACTGAAGAAATAACAAGAATGCTGAAGAAAAAATGTAAGAATATGGGGGAGGAGTGCTCGACAAGAGAGATGGGGATAAAAGAGACAGTGAGAAGAGAAAACAGTCAGATTAGAAAAGAGAAAAAAGTAAAAAAAAATTCTTACTTGCGAAAAGGAAAAGCGCATGTTAATAATGGCGAGCGGCTTAGAAAAGCCCTGCCATAAGTTCGATGAACACTTGCGGAACCACAGTTCAGCTTAGCACTCCTTGAGGGAGACAAGAAAGTGGACACAAAGGAAATGTACCGAAAGTGTGCAGTGAGGTGTGGGCATAAGCATGCGCAGTTCCCCTTCAGGGTACAGGTGGGGGAGAGTGAAGATCGCACGGTCGCCCCCTCTCTGTCCGCCCAAGTTGCTGCGCTACTCCCTATTATGTCAATGTAAAGGGCTCACTATGCGCTCCCCCACCCACCTCAAAGGTTAAAACCTCCACTGTTCTCATGCCTAAAGGCGTGGGTGCGTCCGATGGAACAGCCACAAAAGAGGACCGCGCATTTTTTCGTGCGTGCGTCCATTTGCAAAGGCACACATCACGTGGAGAAAGCGCTCCAGTCGGAGGAGCTGGCTTCCTCCTTACTCTTTTTTTTCTCTCTCTCTCGTGTGTGCTGAGGCACCAGGAATTCAAAATACACAGCCGTGTGGTAAACGTGAACTATGTCCTAGTTGGCATTCTTAGAAAACAGATGATGATAGTAGATTTTAGTGGCGCAAGGGCAACTCAGGCCAAAGAGCGCTTGTCACAGTTAAACTTAAACCCATTTTTGTCTGCCCAGCTTGACAGCTTGTTTACTGCCAACTGAATCTGACGTTCACATGTGGCTAGGTTGCATGATTTGAAGCTGATCTGAATGTCATCCACATATACAGAGTAGGAGATTGTTCTAGGCAATATGGTGCTTATGGAGTTCATTTTTACGACGAATAGTGTGCAGCTAAGAACACCACCCTGGGGGACGCCATTTTCTTGCGTAAACCACTTCGATAAGGCATTACCAACATGAACCACAAATGTACGGTCAGAAAAGTAGCTCTCAATAGTATTCAGCATGTTTCCTGACACTCCAAAAGATCGCAGGTCACGGAGAATGCCATAACGACATGTCGTGTCATAAGCTTTCTCTAAGTCGAAAAATACAGATAGGTAGTGCTGTTTATGAATGAAGGCATCCCTGACATAGGATTCAAATGCTACCAGTTGGTCAGTTGTCGACCGGCCAGACCTGAATCCAGCTTGATGACGATCAAGGAGGCCATTGTATTCAAGGTAATACATAAGGCGGCGATTCACCATTTTTTCGAACACCTTGCCCAAACAGCTGGTCAGCGCTATAGGCCTGTAACTAGCAAGTGTGGCTTCTTTTCCTTGTTTAAGGATGGGTATGATAACTGCCTTTTTCCAGGTCATGGGCAGACGCCCAGAGGACCATACACTGTTGAAAAGAATGAGGATGACGTCAAGCGTTTCTTCGTGTAGGTGTTTCAGCATGCCGTAAGTAATCCTGTCCGAGCCTGCTGCTGAGCTGCCGCACTTTGCCAGTGCTGCCTTTAGTTCACCTATAGTAAAGGGGGCATTGTACCCTCCCGCCGATGGCCTGTCATCACGAATAGGTTTACGTTCCTCGGCAAGTTTGTATCGCCTAAAGGAGTCTGTATAATGTGCTGAGCTGAAAATATACTCGAAGTGTTGGCCTAAGGCATCTGCCTGGTGTTCAAGTGTATCACCAGCAGTACTAACAAGGGGCATCGAATGAGTGCTGTGCCCTTGGAGTGCTCTTACTCTGTTATACACCTTATGTGTGTCAGTGTAAGAGTTCACGGATGAGAGGAAGGATTGCCAGCTCTGTCGTTTAGACTCTCGTCGGACATGTCTACCGTTTGCTTTTGCACGCTTAAAATTCACCAAGTTTTCGACTGTAGGATACCTGCGGAATTTCGACCATGCTTTGTTTTGATTGTCACGAGCATTTTTGCACTCAGAGTTCCACCAAGGTCGTCTTTTGTTCCGTGTATTGTTAGATGTATGTGGGATGGATTGCTCTGCGGCCTGTATAATGTGTAGTGTGACCAACGCTTCAGATTCATCGATGCCTAGGGTTTCAATTGATGAGCGCGATAGTTTTGAGAGTTTTCGGAATTTTGTCCAGTTCGCACCCTGTTCCCGAAACCTGGTTACATTCGCAGTCATTGTACTCGTATTTCCTTCGTATTTTAGACAAACAGGAAAATGATCACTTCCATAGAGGTTATGAATTACAGCCCATTCAGTGGTTGCCAAGAGTGAAGGAGATCCGATAGCAAGATCTATTGCTGTGTATGAGTTGTGCGCTGCGTTAAAGTATGTTGGCTCTTTTTTATTAAATATACAGGAGCCGGAGGACAACAGAAAGTTTTCAATTAAGGAGCCTCGAGAATCCGTTCTTCTACATCCCCATAAAGGGTAATGCGCGTTAAAATCTCCGACCAACAGAAATGGATGCGGAAGCTGGTCGATGAGCGTTTCAAATTCTTTAGTAGAGAGTTCGTAGTCTGGAGGGATGTATAGTGAACACACGGTTGTTACTCGTCCAAAAATTAGGGTTCGTATTGCCACTGCTTCTAAGTCAGTAACCAGAGTGAGGCTTTGAGACGGAACTGCTTTCTGCACCACGATAGCGACACCACCAGATGAATGGGAAATGCCCTTTCTGTCCTTTCGGTATACCACATATCTTTTCAAAAGGCTAGTGTGTGTACGTTTTAGGTGTGTTTCCTGTAAGCAAAGTAAGTTTGGTTGGTGTTGTGCAAATATTTCATAGATGTCGTCTAAGTTCTTAAGTGAGCCTCGGCAATTCCGTTGGATAATATTTTCGGCAGCCATTTTTATGAATGAGGAAAAGAGCGTGACTTATTCACACTTCGCTGCCTTTATTAAAAGGCTTAACTGGCGGGTGTCTTTTCCCTCTGAGGCGATCTATGGAGCCCCGCCTCACTTGGGGGGATTCCGTCAGCATCTTAGACGCTGAGGATCCTGGTGTCACTTCCATTGCCTCCGGTGGACCCTCAGAAGCTAATGGAGGTTTGTCAGAAGAGACAGGTGTCTCAGTTGTCTGTGTGGTCCCTGGGGTCTGATGAAGTTCGACCTCCGAGACGTGAAAGGTTGGTGCAGCCTGTGGCTGCTTGGTGGGGGGCAGAGATGTACACGCATCAGCAAAGCTGTATTGCGTGACCACCGTCACTAGACGCCGCCCGGCCCCCCGGCGCGCTGCGTCAGCGTACGTTCTTCCGGAGAAGAGTGACACCTTCTTCCGGGCTTCAGAGAATGTGATGTTTTCCATTACTTTAATCTGTATGATTTCCTTTTCCTTTTTGAAAATTTCACATGTCCGCGAGTACGCTGCGTGCGGCCCGTGACAGTTAGGGCACTCTGTTTGCGTGGAAGTACAGCTCTCTGTTGGGTGCTCATGATTACCACATTTTGCACATGTTTGTTTTCCGCGACAGGTATTCGACCCATGTCCATATTTCTGGAATTTGTAGCACCTTCTAGGGTTGGGTATGTAGGGGCGGACCTTGCAGTGAAGGAACGCAGCTTTCACGGATTCTGGCAGAGTGGAGCGGTTGAATGTTAGTACTATATGAGGCGTCACCACATCTTCATTGTTTCGCCCGATGGTTATCCAGCGGATGGCGACTACGCCTTGCTCTCGAAAGCCTTCAAGGAGGTCAGCTTCAGTTTCTCGCATCAGATCACGTTGTGAAATGACGCCTTGAACAGTGTTAAGGCTGCGATGGGGGGTGATAGACACGTCCAGGTGGGTGAACTGCTTCTGTTTAAGGAGAAAGTTTGCATGCTGTTTCTGGCTTACTTCAACGAGAAGATCACCCGATGACAGTTTCTTTGCCTCGTACTTTTTGCCTATTAAGTTAGCAAGGGTTTTAGCTATCAGGAAGACCGACAGTCCTGCAACTGAGACGTTATCTGCCAAAGAGTGTATGACTAAAAAGCGTGGGAAGTGGTCACAATCGCTTCCGGTTCGTTTGGAGCTTTCATCGGTGCGGTTCCTTTTCAGGGACCGATCATTGAGGGGGGGGGGGGGGGGGGGAAGATTTTGCCATGTGGTGGACTTCATGTTCGGCGGCGATGGTGACCACCCACCACCGAGCCCAACAGGGGGACGCTACAAGGTAGAACACTTGAAGGCGCCAGTCATACATCGCCGCTATAACCAGATATAACTACCCAAGGTTGGGTAACTACACAAGGTTAACCCTTGCCGCCAGGAAATTTGGAAGTAAACAGAAGAGAGTAGAAGACAGGACAGATAGATAGTGAGAAATAAAGACGAAGATGTAGGCAGAGAGAGATAGGAAAAGGCGACTGCCGATTTCCCCTGGGTGGGTCAGCCCAGGGGTGCCGTCTACGTGAAGCCGGGGCCAAAGGGGTGTGTTGCCTCTGTCGGGGGGCCTTAAAGGTCCAATCACCCAGCATCAGCTCAACCCCCAGGATCCCCTTTTCTTCGGACACGGCAAAGCCACGCACGGCTAGGCGTGGGAGGGAGCCGAAACTCCCCCAATAGCTCGGGTCCGTGGTGTCGCTACTCACCAAACGCCTACTTGCGCAGGTGCCCCTGCGGGGATTCTTAGAAAACACCAGCGCGAAATGAGGACGGGGTGTGGTATTTTTTTACGCTACGATCTTCTCCTATATAAAATGTAAACATTCGGCAGTTGTCTGTCTGGCACGAAAACCTGTGCCGTGGTGGGACGGGGCGTTTGACGGCTGAATGAATGGCAAACTGCCCACTTTCTAAATCGGGAAAATAAGAATTTCCACGAAAAGATGCAGCAGCACAGGAACGACCTCCGTCAGTTGAACAATGAATAGAGTGCAGTGGCAAAGCACTGCGAACAGTCTGACCACCATCACTTCCTGGAATGCTGGCACATTCAAAAGCCAGCAGAAGCATCAACCGTACCACGAGGTCACTGCCCTCTCTCTACTACGATAAAGTTTTCTCTTTCTTTTTTTTTCCGTTAATGAGCTTGACACTCAAAAACTGCATAGCCATGCGTGATTTCACTGCTCCTACTGGGCAAGCCGCATGTTCTGGCGCTGTTTTCACATTTCGAAAACATACATTGAACCAAGTTGAACCTTGCCCTTACTACTATCTTTGAGAAAAAAAAAATCCTTTTTACTACGAGGCCACACAACTTTGCACAAGTCGCCAGACAAAGCACTGAATGCGCGGGACAAAACTCGATTTCCGGGAGATTTTCCTATGACCCGTACAACCGGGAGAAACGTTTCAAATCCGGGAGTCTCCCGAGTAATCCGGGAGACTTGGCAGGTATGTAATTACTGTCAACTCTTGTTATTACGAAGTTAATGGGGACTGCCAAAAACTTACAATAAAACGGAATTCCAATTAACCATAACAAACGAAAAATAAATTTATTTCAAAGCAGTTCACAAAATGAAACCGGTGACTGCAGTTTGCCTTTGTCTGCTAAATCTTGCAGCAGACAGCAAGTCTTGCAGTCTGTATATGTGCCCAAAAGCTTCCTCGGCGTTGCTCTCAGCAGTGAAAAACCACTGCGCGAGGGCAAGGCCTGTGGCTACATCAGCAGCTCGCGGTTGTGGCTCACTTGCAACGTCATCGTCGTCCAACTTAGTTTCGCGAGTATCCTAACTGGGCCGAACCATCTCAACGATCTCAGCGTTCGTAAACACACTGCACGTTTCTACGGCACTGTCAGGAGACTCAACTTCAATTTTACTTGTGTCTGCTTCCCCGCTGTAGAAAACGAACCATCTGCAGCACTTGCAACAAAACCGCATGCCCTAAAGCAGTTCGGGATGGTCTCGTCCTTTAAGAAACCTCACGCTCGCGTCAGCATATGTATAGCGCTGAGAAGGCTCACCTCATATTGAGTTGAATTGTCCATACACAATAGCATCCACTTAAGAAGATGTTTCCGATAAAGTACTTTCGCATTCTTTATAATCCCCTGGTCCATAGGTTGTAACACTGATGTAGTTAAGCGACACAGATGGCACTCAAGGGCGACACATTCATGTGTGCACTACACTGGTCCACAAGCAGCAACACCTTGTGTTTCGCTAACGCGAACTTGCGATCCAATTTCATCAGCCAATCCTTGAATATGTCTGCAGTCATCCACGCTTTCCTGTTAGATGTGTAGTCTACAGGCAACTTTTTTACACCCTTGAAACATCTAGACTTAGCGACTTTGCTGATTACGAGCAGGCGACATCGCTCAGAGCCCGTCATGTTGGCCTCCATCAGCACTGACACTCTTTCTTTACTACGCTTACCTCCAGTGCAGTCAAGGTCAGCGTCTTCTCTGGCAACATTCGGTAAAAAAAGTGCCGTCTCGTCGGCATTGAAGATATCTTGCGGCTGATATTCCTCCAAGTATTCGCGAAGGTTACCTTCTCTCCACATAGCACATGTTACCGCGTCGACAGCCACCCTTTCTCCATTCACACTTTTAAACACCATACCATGGCATTGCTTTAAGTGTGTAAGCCATTCATTGAACGAAGCGAAGTTCTCGATGCCTAGCATTGTCGCAAGCGATGAGGCTTTCGCTGCAACGATTTCCCCACTGAGCGGAAGTCGGTTGCCTCGCGCCCTTTCTGAATCCAGACGAGCAATGCTTGCCCCAACTCTGGGTGGGCGCCAGTGGGCATCCTTTTGCGACACAACTTAAACTGGTCATTTTCAAACGCGTCCAGCAACGAGCGCTTGCTCTTGAGGATCTTTGACAGGGTATTAGGCTTGATGCAGTATTTCCGGGCAATATCTTGCTTGGCTGTGCCTCCTACTTCCACTTCTTTCAAAATCTTGACTTTCGTCACCAAGTCTAGCTAGCGTCCGATAGGGCCCGCGAGTTGCCATAGCCGTGACTGCACCTGAAATACACGTAGAGCTCCGTTGCACGTGCAAATGCTGTCGGCTCAACGATACAAACGGTTAGGCCCAGCACTTGCTCAACTTCCACAGGCCGCTCGCAGGATTGCCTTGCCGCTTCATGGTCTGAGGCGCTGTAAGCAGCTGCGATGCAAATTGCGCCAGTAAGCTGCAGGAAGTGTTGATATCTAGCGCTGTGGTCAGCTGTGATGCCCTTAAGTGCCTGCCGCACAAACATCATTTTTTTGCACTTTAAAACTAGCAAATTATTCAAATGTTATTAAAATTTTCTTGCGAAATTCGATTGAAAATTTGAATTACCCGAAATTTCAGACTTCTAGCTTATAATTAACAAGCATTTATTTCTATTGAATTGCAAGCAAAAATGACGGGACCTCCATTCCACTTCCAATTAAGCGACTTCGGATTCGATTTCGGGAGTCGACTGTATAATAAATAACATCCACTGTTAAAGTTGTTTCTGGGGGAAAAAAATGAGCCTTCAAAATTTCCCTTCTCTCATTCAAGAGAAGGCGTGACATCTTCAAGCATCTTGTCAAAAATTGAAGCAGCAATACAATTATGCGTGCATGAAAGAGTGAGGGGGGGGCTCTCACATTGCATATGAAAATAAAACCAATAGATGTACCTCAACCGGCAATGCACTGCATAGGCAGTTAAATCATCCATAAGATGACAAAATGGGTGCCAAGAGAAAATAAGTGCAGACGAGGACAGCTGCAAACACATAAGGGCGATCAAATAAGGATTTTTAGGGCACAAGATAAAGAGTTTTAGCTGTCACAAGACAGAACTAATAGCTGAAGATTACTGGTAAAAGGACCTCATGGATGTAATTAGGCTGACGATGATGATGGTACCTGATTATGTACATGCACAGTTGACGGACATTCCAAATAGGGAGCGGTATGCCCACCTTGTTCTTGGGGTTCTCAAGGTTGATGCGCAGAATGCCCATGCCTGTCAGGACATACTTCATTGAACCAAGCAGGTTGTCCAGCACGGTCGGCTGCAAGGTGCACACAGACACAGTTTAACGAAACGGAGCAGCTTGTTCTCTGATACACACAAGGCTCAGTAACAACCTCACGCTTGAGCCCTGAAGAACTGCATCTCCTAAACATACTGATCAAGAAGTGCCGATACTGAAATATTTTCTTCTTTAGAATGATACAACAAGCTCACGCAGAAGTCAAATAACACAATTGAAAAAATTTTCAGCAAAAAGCATTAACATGGCTGTTCTAGAAACCTTTGTAGAAATATGACATTGAGGACAGCTACGAAGTGGGCTAGTTGGTGACCATTCATCTTCAAAAGTGCCCTTAGTTAACACAGATACAGTACAAAACAACGAACAAATACAGGATGCAAGACGTCGACATACACGTTAGAGCAAACAATGAAAGCAGAACTGCAGTAAGGGTGTGAACGCAAACTGTAATGGATGCCTAAAGGCGATGTCAAATGCTAGTCGCACATTCCAGTGAAGTGCAGTCATGAGGTACCAACTACGAATGCTGGCTGAATACAGTGGAACTGTAATTATACTACCTTAAGGAGGCCATGCATATCCATTGTATGATCTGGAAATTGTATATAATAATAATAATAATAATAATAATAATAATAATAATAATAATAATAATAATAATAATAATAATAATAATAATAATAATAATAATAATAACACAAAAAAGAAACTAGAATTTTAGGCAGTAATGTTCAGCCTTAACCAAACAATGGGTACAAACCACCTGAATAACTTTACTCCTTCTACTACAAACCCAGCAAATGATCTTGTGTGCATATTTGATCTTGAAGCTCCAGCCAAGGTCAATTTCTTCTTCGCACATGTGCCGTCATCCCAATGGCCATGCCCACTGTGCGCTTGTTCTCTCCTGCATGCCATATCTTGGTGGGTCGGCAACAGGCCGGTGAGTTTGCGTATACTGGGACCTTAAGGACTGTCATGTGACTCAGGGGCTGACAATAACGCAGAGACCGTGCCACTGCAAAGGGCCCCAACCCCCGAGACACGGGTACAGCATGCCTTTCACGACAGTTGCTGCTACTACTAGACAAGCTTCGCTTTTATATCTTGTTCCAATTTCGTAAGCAAATTGTGTGACAGACACTAAGCTACACAAGCGAGCCCGCTGCCTCCAAAACTAAAAGAACCTGCAAACATGTGAACAGTGACTAAAGCCTGCATTTGCTTTAGCTGTAATTACGTATTGCGGCGTAGAACTTCACACGCCTTTATTAGGCATGGAAGATGTGGCGAAGCTAGTCGCATCCGCGGCACAGAACAAACTCAAGAGGTGTCCCCACAAAAGATGCAGATGAAGAACACCATGTGATGATGGTTATGTGCAGGTGATAAAGTGTCTTATAAATGCCCACAATATACATACCGTTATTACTCGAATTTAACGCACACCTTTTTTCCGGTCAAGCGAGTTCATAAATTGCATGCGCGTTAAAATCGAGTGCGAAAAAAAAATTAAAACAGTCATTCTATTGCCATCGGCATTTCCAAAATGGCCACCCTGTACGTGTTTTGGCACGGCGCATCGGTCATTTCTGCCTATGTGTTTCTCATGTGCAGCACTTTGTACGTGTGCTGAGGAGTTCGTCATCTTGTAGTTCATTAGCATTGACAGCGTGGAAGGGCCGACACCAAAAACTCGACGAGTGCACCACGATGCCGCTTTTAAAAGAAAAGTCATCGCGTGTGCCGGAACGGACGGAAATCGGGCCGCATCGCGGTCGTTCGGAGTTCCCGAAACGTGCGTGTGGGACTGGCGGAAACAAAAGCAGAAGATTGTCGAAGATTCATGCAAAGGCTTCAGTGGACCACAGCAGGGTAGGTTTCCACAAATTGAAGAGCTGCTCGCTGAGTATGTGCTTGAGCAGCAAGCGGCACAGCGGCCCGTGACGACAGAACTGCTCTAAGTGCGGGCTATGCAGTTAGCTTTAGAAAAAGGGCTAATGCGGAGCCAGTTCAAAGCAAGCAGGTGCTGGCTAACTAACCTTATGAAGAGGAAAGGCTTTTCCCTCCAAAAGCGAACGGGCATTCGCCAAAACTTGCCGGAGGAGTACAAAGAAAAGCTTCACAGTTTTCAGAGGTTCGTCCTAAACTTGCGGCACAACAACGGCTACCTGCTTGGGCAAATCGGGAAAGCCCATCAGACGCCTCCTTACTTCGACATGCCTGGCACCACTACCGTCGAGAAGAAGGGGGCGAAGCAAGTTCGCATGCTGACATCGGGCCACGGTAAAACAAGAGTGACGGCAATGCTCCATTGCACGTCAGATAGGCACAAGCTTCTCCCGTACCTCATATTTAAACGGAAGACGCTCCCGAAAGGAGTCGTTTTCCTGAGTAGTGTGATCGTGCGGGCCAACGAGAAAAATGGGTGCGCGTTGCAATCGATGTCTTACTTTTTTTTTTTTTCGTCGTGAAAACCGAGTGCACGTTACAATCGAGGGCGCGGTAGAATCGAGTAAATACTGTACTTAAAAAGCACAACTACATGTGGAAACTGACAGCCTCTTTCTATTTTGGAGTGCTGCTCTCTGCATACAAATAAACAGTGATCAATCTTTAAAAGACATGGTAGCTTACCCTGAAGCTACGCAGCTCTTCATCGGAGAAGCCTTCGCTGTGGATGATCTTCATCTGTTTCACGATGGTGCTCTTGCCACTCTCGCCCGCACCTAGTCAGCCAAGATCACAGAAACAAATCAAGGCGACTATTAATAGTTCATCGGAAAAATACACAAGCTACACTAACAATGAGAGAGGACACAAAACATTTGTACTTTCACAAAAACAAAGCCACTGTGAAAACTTGAGATGCCACAATTAACTTGGTGATGATTAGGTCTTTATTAACTATTATGAAGGCCTCTGTCACAGACATACTACAGTGACAATGAGTCAAAGTGTGAAGGCATACACATTTCATTAAGATTTCTTTTTCTTTCATCTGCAGATTTCCAAGAACTTTACAAATACCATCCACTGAACTAAAATCTACATCGCACATTAGCAGTGAAGTGATCTTAGAAACATGCATCTGAAAAGCAACTTGGGCTGCAATCGATGCCGCAGCGGAGGGCTCCAGATAACCTCAACCCCCTGGGGATCTGTAACATGCACCTCACACGACACAGTAAACACTCCTCTTGCACTTCACTTCCATCGAGATGCAGCGAACATGGCAGGGATTACACTAGTCTCTCTCGGTTCAAGCACCGTTACCCCTACAGCAGGCTTTCCAAAGAACGAATTTCGTTTTCTACTCTACAAACTAATCTTTGTAATGGCACTTGGAAATGGTGGTAGTTTCGCTTCCCTTCAGAGACAACAGATTTGTACGAAAGTTTTTCTTTTAACATCCTACACAAGGAAGCACTAGCTGAAAAACAGATGTGATCTGCCAGTGGCAACCAAAGCACACTGAGATTTGCACACATGCACTGATTGATATCTTTGACAGTCCCAGGATTGTAGTGCCAATTCATGTTGCAGTTAAGACACAGTAATAGTTGGTTGCGGGCAATGCTGCATTTTGTTGGTTTTCCATTTTGTGTTGCGTGGTAAAAATAAAAATAGGATGAAAGCAAGATTGAGCAGTTTACTTTGTCGCAACAAAAACGTGTAGCCATCTGCTGTTATTAGAGTTAGACACAAAAGCACTTTGTCACATTGAGACAGCACTGCCATCAAACTCAAATGAGCTCTAGCATTGATTTCTTCAATAAATACTGCCACACTTTAAACAAACTCACCAATTATTGCCACACAGGCTAAGTACTTTTTTTGATGCTCTTGGGTTACACCCAAAAAAGACCGTTAGCACTGCTTGGTGCACACTGCGATGCCATGCTTGAGAAGCTCCACAACTGTTTTGAGATCATTCTGTTAGGATTATGTGCGGAATGCGAATCATGATGTTTATTCGCGAGTTAACACGAGCACAAGCAAGGAGACTGCCATGTGCTATGCCGCACGTATAAACGTCGACGCACCTTACAGCAGATAAGACTACACAATGGCCAACGAATGTTCACGCCGCCATCGGGCCACAGCGTAAATTGCACGCACAATTCATTTTCCTTTTATGGGCAAAGGACCATCCCCCCCCCTCCCGCCAAAAAAGTTTAGCCTTAAACACGCAGACTTCTGCCTTCATTCACGTCACGACTTCGTGACACTATGCTGGTTGAAATAGGCACGGTGTGCAGTACCCAAATGTTGATGCTTTATCAAATGCCTTTGCTATGCAATGTACGGGCGTGACAAAACTGGTGGTTTAGTCTGAAGCGCAGTGACTATAGAAATAAGTGCACCAACTTGTGGCTAACTAATTAACGCGCATATGCTTTAGTTTTGACTTGTCTGCAGTCTGTGTCATACAGGCTAAAGGTTCTTATAAATATCTCATCAATCTCACTAATACTGTGTCTAACAAAGATAATGAACCCTTAAATGTATACTTCTTTCCTACAGACTTAAGGTGTAATACCAGCTCATACACTTGCATCGAAGCTAACATCACTTTTAGAGTGCTGCTTCGCAGTGGCATGATGCGACTACACTCAAACTTCATTATAACAAAGTTGCATACTACACAAAAATAAATGCACTATATCGGAAAATTCGTTATAAAGGTGTATTCCCTACACTATATGTGCTGTAAGATTACATTTCCTTTACTTTGTTTTTCATTACATCAGGGTTCTTTATATCTAGGTTTGAGTGTATTTAGAAAACCCATGCACGATGTTTACATAAAGTTTTTCATGCATTACACGTTTACTTTCCATTAGCACACCAGTCCCTTTGCTGAAAATAAAGCTTAAAAAAAGAGGGACCGAATGAAACTGACAAAAAGGGGGCACCCACCGAGCAGCAGGATCTTGATGACATTGCACTCCTGGCGTGCGAGCTCGGCGATCTGCCGGTCGATCTGGGCACTGCGCAGGCGTGCCTTCCTTTCCTCATCGTCAAGACTGAGGCATCCCCCCATGCCCCATCACTATGGGTGCCCCACGCACCGTCACGTGAAAAATAGGAGGATACAGCGACACCGCGAACAGCACGCACCACTGTGGCCGTTGATAAGAGACGCAGCAGGAACCTGTAATTGAGCAATGTTAACGTACTGGGAGAAAATGCTTGGTAAACTTCTCGCTTTAAATTACAAAGCTAAAATAAGGAGCCTGCATGAGTTTCTACTAAAAAAATAAAAAGCTTAATCATTTTTTGTTGTTGTTGTTATTCCCACCCACAAGCAATGCCTTTCTGCAGGGATATAGCCAGATGACTTGTTTGTTTCTTTGAGAGGAGGCGCTGAATTTTGTCCATTCACGCGTGTTTGTACGTGTGCATGTATATATACACTTGGCAACAGGAAACATTTTTATACTTCACTTCTCTCCCGATTATAATTTCCATGGACCACCGCACAAATGATTTGCCACACTCTATCAATGACACTGCACATCTATCTAGTTATTGATTAATTTGCCTTTGTGCTCTTCTCTGCTATAAACCTAGTTATCCCAGGTGATTGAACAACGAAACAACCGACTAGAAATGCATTGGTAGTTGCTGGGAGGGCGCGAGGCAGAAGGATTGAACCTCCCAATCAATCACTGGAGGTTAGGAGATGACAAGCACAAAGGCAAATAGATCGATGAATGCTGATCAAATTGTTTCGGGAAGTGATTCCTCCTATGATGGACCCTACAAGACTGAGCGAGTCCTTGAAACAATGCATTCAAACTGAGAATATGGAGGTGTGAGTCCAGTAAGGTCTGCTCAAGTAAGACGTTTGCTAAGTGGAGTTTGGAACAGTATTCTACTTCCACCTCCTAGACCATTTGTAGCAGCTGAATCGGCTACATTCATGCACTGAAGGCCTTCTGAAAATAAATAAGGAAGGCGTGACTTTTTAGTCGGGTGTGGTGCGAGGCTTTATTTTCAAGCAACCCCTAAATCTTCACAAAGGAGGCTTCGTAGCTCCAGCAATCTTGCAATGGTTAACTGCGTACGATCAAGACTGATGGCTAATCTAACTTCACTATCTTTCATGGTAGGCAATCACTGGCCAATCCCAACTCAGTCTTGGGACATTTATTGTTTCGCAAGCAGCATGCGTAAGCTTGTACAACTGAGCTGAACGGACCGCCAGGCTAGTTGGTGTTGATTCATAGTGAATTGAAATGTACAGCACAAAATCCGAGACAAAAGACGAATCCGTCCATGTGTGCTCCTTTGTCTTGTATTTACCACAATAAAATTCAATTCTTTATGAAACTCAGTCGAAGCTGTTACAGAAAGATTTCAAAGTGTCGAAACTGTTGTCCGCATGTGTGGAGAACTGCGTGACAACTAGCACAAGAAAGAAGTGAGATATCTGAACTCTTGTGCAGTACCCCATGTATGCCAGATTCACAGGTGACGCTACCATAGCTTAGCATCGACAGATAAGTTTTTGTGTCTACTTTCTTTTCCACCACACTGGGCCCTTTTAGTTAATAGTCCGCATATGCATTCCCTTGTTCTCTTTCCTTGTCAACATGTCTATGCCTCAGCGTCTTTTTTGAGTATAAATGTTTTATATTATTCAATCAAACCTGAAGAGGTTAGTCAAAAGCAAAACGTCAGCTGTCCACTGCCATTTTCCCTCTTGCATGTTTTAACACGTTTGCAACTTTTGAATAAAACGAAGATGACAGGATCTGGAAAAAAACACTTGCAATTTGTCTGTCTCAAAATCCTGCACTAAAAATCAAAACTTAATTATATAGTTATAGACCCTAAAACACGTGAGCTAGTAGAACTGCAGCTAGCATGTGCTTGCCGAGTTTTCACTCAAGTGAATGCTAAAATCATTAGCAGTCATGATGCATACACATAACCGCTTCAATTCTCAAGTACCTTCACATAGTTTTGTGTTGCGCAAGACTAAAATTCATATTTAACAACTTATCAGGCAATATTAGTTGACATCATGCGTCGGATTACAGTGCAGTAGTAGTGTGCGCGTTATGACCACAATTTCAATAAATGATGGGGTTAAACGTCCCAAAACCACGATATGATGATGAGAGACACGTTACGGCTATAAAAAAGCGTCCGCGAAATTTTTGTTCTGCTAACTTGCCTGATTTTTCTTGTAAACTCGTAGAATGTGCTTGGCAAAATACGTAAATGCGCAGAGTTGTAGGCGCGCTATAGACAGCGTTAGTTTTATAGAGAACGATTTGCGCCATGCTTACAAAAGGGTATGCAGGACGAATTGCTAGGCCCCGCACATATGCTTATGGCGAAAGCCGGCCACTACGGCTGCGCGCCGATATGCTTTTTTTTTTTTTTCGTCTGCCTAGCACTTTCGCGCTAGACCAGCGCAAAAATATAAGCAGCGGCCCGAGAAGCGAGCTCCACCCTGGCACTTTTCACGCTGCAATCTCTGGCATCGCTCAGAAAACTGCACGCGGCGAATCGCCCCGCTGCACGCCCACGAGCAAAATCTACCGGCGCGGCGCACCTTGCAAACCGCTGCACGCGATTTCGAACAACAAAAAGAAACGACCACAAACAAACAAACTGATGCAAGACGCAAACAAGGCGCGCTCCAAATAAAACGGCCGATGTGAGTATGAGGCGAGCGTCAAATACAGTGGCCGACATCTAGCGGACATCCGGGTCCCGCGGTTACGTTGCAGGTGCGTTGCGTAGCGGGTACCACCGTAGCGGAACGGTAGACCGTGGGAAACTGTACCGAAAGCGCGTACTGGAAACTACGCTGCGAACAAAAGATGTCACTTCTTCGACCATCGCGCACACGTGATCCCGCTATCGTCGAGGTGAAGCCGCGGTGTGAAGAATGGGTGAAACCAGTTAGCGTGAGGTGCGACGGGCAAACACCCCCAACGCAGTGATTTCGCCTCCGAATAACTCAAAAAATCACATTTATAACAGCAATGTAGGCAGATTTCGTTAATGTTGGTTAATGCCGACCCTAAGGAGCCGCGCAGACCGTAATAAAAACTTATCCGCTAGCCCCGATTTCTGACACTGGATCAACAGAACTCTCCACGATGCACGCAACTAACAAGCACCGAGCAACATTCTTACAGGAACAACGTTCCAGGCGACCATCACAGGTTGAAATAATTAATAAAATACAAGGTGCCTAACATAGAGAGCATGCTAAGCGTTCAGCTTTCGGTCGTATTCTCAGCCGATCACTTGAATCAACTACGATACGACGAGGGGCAGTGCAGTGAAGCCCTGGTCTAACCTGGCGCACAGCTCAGCAATCGCTCGCTGATTAGACAAACCTTCTAGCGGGCTCCGCCCGGCTTCAATAAGGTTGCGCGGAATCGTCAAATTACGTCGCGGTGCACGTGACAACAAAATCGGGCGAGCTCATTCGCGAAAACAAAGCACGCGTGCACAGCATGCAGAGGCGGACATTTTTAAATGCACGGTACGATGCTAATGGTTCGCTTACGCCGTTTCTTCTTTCCGTACAGCAGGATTGGACGCGTTCACGATGCCTCGCCGCGCGCAGTTAGTCAACGCCGTTTGAGCGACACTTCCATATGGCTCGTGCGGTCGCAGAAGCAAGGTCGATCACGAGAGCAGCGTCGAGGCGTGAAATGACATAAATATGTAACGGTGGTGGTAGTGGTTACAATGAAGAGGAAAAAGGCACCTAATTTCTGTCTGCCTTCAGGCGACACGGCGCAGTGCCTTATAGGGGTGGGGGGAAGGAGGGATAAAAAGAATAGAAGGAAAGTAGAAGCAGAAGAAGACAGCCAACGAGAGGAAAAAGAAGGAGATAGGAAAGTGGGGATCCGGTCGAAGCAGTCCAAGGGCGGGGTGCCACAATGCGAGAGCTACACGGCATCAGGAGACCGCGGAGGGCGAACCAGTCGGCGGGAGCTACGCTGAAGTCGGAGATCGCGAGGGCACAACCGTCCAGCTTGAAATCCTGCGAGCGAATCCTATGTAACGCTGACAATACAACGTGCTCACGCTGTGAATCACGCACGCACCGACAGGCTTGTTGACATTCCCAGAGTCCCCTGCGAGAGACGCCGACGAAGCTTTCACAAACGGCCGTAGTGCGCCGCCAGCATCAGCATTCGCATACGTTCGCAGTGAACTAGAAAAATATTGCGTCAGCAAGCGAGGCTGGCGAGGCCATGCTGGCCATGCACTCACACAAACATCCTCTACACTCCCACGAATTCATGTTCGTTAGTAGCGACATCCACGACTTAGTAATAGCTGTTCATTTCTGTGACGAGCACGACAAGTCAACGTAATAATCACGCTCACAGAGAGTGGAGGCAAAAATTAGCAGAGTAATTAATGTCTTCTAATCATTGTAACAATGTTTGTGGTATCAAAGAGACTACCGCGAATATGTGATCGCTCAGTGTTCCACAACATTCCTTCAATGAAATTATTCTCACACCATTTACTATTAATGCGCTCACGAAGCCCAGATGGCGACACAATCTAGCCTTCGCTGCCGCCTACGGGTGCTCTTCACCACAGAACTCGTTTTCTGGCGATGTTGGCGAGCGGTGTATGTGTGTGTGGGGTGCTTTGTTTTTCCAAGGTGCATTTACCTATGGTGAAAAGAGCAGCTAGCCACGAGCCGTTCTCTAGGAGTGCGCAAAGCTGTCGTCATTGATTTGCAAGCCTGAATGAAACGCCGAACGGCTGCTTTCGGAAAACTAAACAAGAGGGACGCCGCACGCTTTGCTTGAGTGCTGTGCAGGTAAGCCCAACCTTCAACACTTCGACTTTTTTATGTTATGGTCCTGCGTTTACGCATTGTCAAGAAGAATTCGTACGTGCATTTTCGAGAGTTTCAAAGCTATTCAGGGCTGGAGTTGATCTAGTTACGTCGACAACGGTGATGTGTGTTTTCGCCGCATGTATTGATTCGAGAAATAATTAACAAAAATGCAGTTCCTAAGCACGCTCGATTTGTGGTGATGATATACTATTACTGATCGAGTTGAAGATCACTTACGATGGTATAAATGTTTGACACGCAGGTGAACATTTCTCCACATATTGTATGGTAACGCGGAAGCTCTCGTAGAAAGCTGTGGAAAATATGGCTTGTGCGCGCACGTTCTTGATCAGCATATGATCTTTTGCAGATCATATATATATATATATATATATATATATATATATATATATATATATATATATATATATATATATTGTGAGGGCTGGGCGGGCTAGGCATGAAGGCTGAGAGGCGTTGTGAACGAGGAGAATGCGCTTTATTCGAACATGAAAACGTGCCGACCGCGCCGGAGGCGGGAGCGAGATTGATAAAACGTGTCCCCGGCCCTCGCTTGGGCTTGGAGTTTATCTGAGTAAAGGCGCCGCAGGTGGCGCTGCCGATTAGATAGGCCGCTACGCTATAGTGCGCATGCGGGCGCTCACATCCGGCCCCTCCTTGTCTGACCAAGTCCCATTGGTCTAGGAAAGGAGCACTACTTGGTGGCTTCACTGCGATAGAGAATAGTCCTTCAAGCGCTCGGGTGGGCGCTTTTGGCGGTGAGGTCGCGAGGAGGGTACCGCTGGAGGCAAAACTGCAGGGCCAAGGGAAACTGGTGGTTGAGATAACTCATTGCCAACACTGGGAGAGCCAGATAAGTCACACAAAGGCCACTCTTGGGTTTTCACAATGTAAGGCTCGACATAAGGTGGCACGTAGTGCTTGAGTTGAGAGACGTGCACTATCCTGTCTTGGAGTCGATCACGAGGACCTTGACCAGTTACGCGGCTAACGACAAACGTAACGGGTGTTTTCTGGTTGGTGATTTGGTATATTCCCTTGAATTTGGGTGCCAACTTTCCAGTTCCATCTGCTACAGGCTCTTGGCGGCGCACCCAGACGAACTGGGCGACTTGGAAGGAGTGGTCTCGATGGGACTGATCATATGCTGTCTTCCGTTTCCCTTGTGCTTCCTCGGTATTACTTGCTGCTACGGCCCGGTTCTGAGACAGCATTAGGAGACGGTCTTGTAGGGTCCTGGCTGTGGCGGGACGGTGGCGTTGATATGGGAGCTTGGGGACGTATCCATACAGTAGTTCAAATGGAGAGAAACAGCTGCTGGCGCTATAGCTTGTGTTGATGGCAAAAGCAGCTTCTTCGAGTTTGCTTGCCCAGGAGGTCTGGTCCGTTGGACACAGCTTACGAAGAACGGAGACTAAAGTCCCATTGCTTCTCTCTACAAGACCATTGCTGGCTGCGCGGTATGCCACTGAATAATGAATCTCGGCACCGTGCATGTGCATGAAGTGCTTAAACTGGTGAGATTCAAAGGCTGCTCCATGGTCAGACATGCAGTCATCAGGACAACCAAAGCGGAAGAACACCGACTGTAAATGTGCTATAACTTCCTTAGCTGATGTTGAAGTTACAGCCGCTGGGACAATGAAACGCGTGGCAAAGTCAATGACATTCAAAATGTACTTCTTTCCTGAAGCAGCCGGCATTGTGATGTGATCAATGGCAATTAAGGCAAAAGGAACATCCGACACTGGCATGAGACCCATTTTGCCAACACTTTTAGATATTGGGCGGTTGTTGCTTTGGCAGATCTGGCATGCTGTGACGTAGTGGGTCACTGAAGACGTAAGGTTTGGCCACCAGTAACGTTCTCTCACTTTGGTCAGTGTCCGGGTTACATCCATGTGGCCTCCACCGTCATGAACAACCTCCAGGACAGCCTGGCGCATCTTTGCTGGCACTACAATAGCTTGAGAACCTGAAGTCGCGTCACTATGGTACAGGATGTCATCAATTATGGCAAGGTCATGGTCCCACGATTCTGAAGATGACAGAGAGCGACGAAGGTCCTGGCACTCTTTGTCTTCTGCTTGCATAGCTGCGAGAGACTGTGTCTGATGGAGGACTGCTGCAGATAATCGTGACAGCATGTCAGCAACCACGTTTTGACGGCCTGGATGGTGCTGCACAGTGAAGTCGAACTCTGTAAGATCCATCAACATGGTCGTAAAACGACGTGAAGGCCTGATGTTGGCTGTTAAGCATGCAACGGTCCAGTTGTCAGTCAACAGGCAAAATTTCTTGCCGAGCAAGTAGTGTCGGAACTTGATCGTAACCGCCCAGTGGACACCAATACACTCCCAAACGTTGCTATGCAACTTCTTCTCTGCGGCCGTGAGTGCACGACTCGCATATTCGATCACAGTTTCTTTTCCACACTGTTTCTGAGAGAGCACAGCACCAATTGCGGTTCCTGAGGCATCTGTTGTGACTGTGGTTTGGGCGTCTGGATCAAAATGGCCCAGTACAGGTGCCTCTGTTAATGCTGTGCGAATTCGCTGAAAGGCTTCATTGCAGTCGCTGGTCCAGGCAAACTCCTCAGACCGTATGAGACTCTGCAACGGTGCTGCTATCCGAGAGAAATTCTTCACAAATCGGCGATAGAAGTTTGCTGTCTGGAGCCATGACAAAACTGCTTTGCTGTTTGCAGGCTGTGGGATTTTCATGATGGCTTCGACTTTGGCAGGGTCAGGCTGCTTGCCGTCCCTGCTCAAAATGAATCCGAGAAACCTGATAGACTTCAAAGCAAACTTACACTTGTCAAGTGAAACTTTGAATCCACTGGCAAGGAGTGCACCAAGTACTTCGTCGAGTAACCTTGCAAACTCGTCAAAAGTTGGCGCAAAAACCAGAACATCATCCAAGTACACCCGCACACCGCACTTTGGGCAATGGGGCTGCAGGTTAGCAAAAATTGACTGCATGGCTCGCTGGAAAGTGGCAGGTGCGTTCTTCAGCCCAAATGGCATGCGGGTCCACATAAAGGTGCCATAGTGGGTCACAAAAGCAGTTTTTGCCTGGTCTTCCTTACGAACGCGAACTTGCCAGTAAGCAAACTTTAGGTCAAGGCAGGCGAAGTACTGTGACCCAGCAATGTCATCCATGATGTCATCCGCATGTGGAAGTGGTTGCACGACGTTCACAGTCATCTTGTTTAGGGGCACATAGTTAACACAAAGGCGCTTCTTGCTACCTCGGCTGACAACCACTGCGGGGAATGCCCAAGGTCCTAAGGCTGGTAGAATGATGCCTTGCCGAAGGAGTGTGCTTATTTGAGCCTCAAGAAAACGACGGTCTGCAGCAGAGTAACGGTAAGGGGATCGACTGTATGGCACAGCATCGGGAAGAAGGTCGATTGAGTGTTCAACACCCTCGTACAGACCTAAGTCATCCTCTTCACGAGCGAATACTTCAGCGTGCTTCGAAAGAATGCTCGTGATTTCCCGTTGTTGATGTGCTGGCAAATGGCTACCAACCTGAGCGGCAGGCAAGGATGGGTCAATGCAAACCTCTATTGTTGAAGAAGCACCTCGCCTGCATTCAGAAGACGGGCCGTTGGTGTTTGAAACCTCATATTGACAAGATAGTGCTAACCACGGGGGTTCATCTGGGCCTGGGAGTGGCATTCGCTGGAGGCCTGCTGAGCTGTGGTGTCCCGATACATGGTAATTGAAAGATGACCCCTGGATCATAACAGCGTTCGACATCCTGGGCAACAGTCGCTCATAGCACCGCACACTTGTTCCTGTGGTGGGATGACGAATTTCAGTTGGCAT